AAGCATGTCTCCAGACCTAAACCCTATTGAGCATCTGTGGGGAATCCTCAAATGGAAGGTGGAGGAGCGCAAGGTCTCTAACATCCACCAGCTCTGTGATGTCGTCATGGAGGAGTGGAAGAGGACTCCAGTGGCAACCTGTGAAGCTCTGGTGAACTCCATGCCCAAGAGGGTTAAGGCAGTGCTGGAAAATAATGGTGGCCACACAAAATATTGACACTTTTGGTCCAATTTGGACATTTTCACTTAGCAGTATACTCAGGTTTGTTGCCAGCGGTTTAGATTAATGGCTGTGTGTTGAGTTATTTTGAGGGGGCAGCAAATTTACATGTTATACAAGCTGTACACTCACTACACCACATTGTAGCAAAGTGTAATTTCTTCAGTGTTGTCACATGAAAAGATAAAATAAAATATGTACAAAATGTGAGGGGTGTACTCACTTCTGTGAGATACTGTATATATATATATATATATATATATATATATTTTTTTTTTTTATTTTATTTTTTTCAGGGAAGCCCACCCCACCTCTGCTTAAAACGTGAACTTTCACCTTCCCCATCAATTCATCCCCCTACAATTACTATTGTATTATTAGACACATGAATATACAGTATACATACAGCTGACATTATATGTAGAGATGAGCGAATCGAACCAGGCGAACCGGAATTCGAGTCGAATTTCAGGAAATATTCGATTCGCGGCGAAACCGAAATTTTGCCTACTTCGGGTGCGCGAATCGAACATTTCCCGATCAGCCGGCAAAAGTGTCCCTGCAGTGAGCTCCGCTATTTCTGACAGTTCTCTGACAGAAGGAACACATGTTTCTGTCATTTAATAGTCTATTTCTGACAGTTCTATGACATTCCCTCCATACAGCGGTTGAAACAGCTGTATGGAGTGAATGTCCCAGAACTGTCAGAAATAGACTATTTATGGCAGTTCTGGGACATTCACTCCATACAGCGGTTGAAACATTGTATCTATTTTTTTCCATAAATGACATTCTGCAAATACACTTAGAGGAGCGCTGCAGATACACTTTTTGCCGGCTTGGAATTAATCTTATTTTCATCCTACTTCTTCTTCTTCATCCTCATCCTCATCCTCATAAGAAGAAAAAGAAGAAGTAGGATGAAAATAAGAATAATTCCAAGTCGGCAAAAAGTGTATCTGCAGCGCTCCTCTAAAGTGTATCTGCAGAATGTCATTTATGGAAAAAAATAGATACAATGTTTCAACCGCTGTATGGAGTGAATGTCCCAGAACTGTCATAAATAGTCTATTTCTGACAGTTCTGGGACATTCACTCCATACAGCTGTTTCAACCGCTGTATGGAGGGAATGTCATGGAACTGTCAGAAATAGACTATTAATGACAGTTCTGGGACTCTGACAGTTACATTCCCTCCATACAGCGGTTGAAACAGCTGTATGGAGTGAATGTCCCAGAACTGTCAGAAATAGACTATTTCTGACAGTTCTGGGACAATCACTCCATACAGCTGTTTCAACCGCTGTATGGAGGGAATGTCATGGAACTGTCAGAAATAGACTATTAATGACAGTTCTGGGACTGTCCTTCCATACAGCGGTTGAAACATTGTATGTATTTGTTTCCATAAATGGATCCATTTATGGAAACAAATACATACAATGTTTCAACCGCTGTATGGAAGGACAGTCCCAGAACTGTCATAAATAGTCTATTTCTGACAGTTCTGGGACATTCACTCCATACAGCTGTTTCAACCGCTGTATGGAGGGAATGTCATAGAACTGTCAGAAATAGACTATTAATGACAGTTCTGGGACTGTCCTTCCATACAGCGGTTGAAACATTGTATGTAATTGTTTATTTGTTTCCATAAATGGATCCATTTATGGAAACAAATACATACAATGTTTCAACCGCTGCATGGAAGGACAGTCCCAGAACTGTCATTAATAGTCTATTTCTGACAGTTCCATGACATTCCCTCCATACAGCGGTTGAAACAGCTGTATGGAGTGAATGTCCCAGAACTGTCAGAAATAGACAGAAACTGTCACAGAACTGTCCTTCTTCTCCTTCTTCTCATCCTTCTTCTCATCCTTCTTCTCATCCTTCTTCTCATCCTTCTTCTCATCCTTCTCCTTCTTCTCATCCTTCTCCTTCTTCTCATCCTTCTCTTCTTCTCCTTCTTCTCATCCTTCTCCTTCTTCTTATCCTTCTTCTCATCCTTCTCCTTCTTCTCATCCTTCTCCTTCTCCATCTTCTCATCCTTCTCCTTCTCCTTCTTCTCATCCTTCTCCTTCTCCTTCTTCTCATCCTTCTCCTTCCTTCTCTCTCCTCTCTCCTTCTTCTCATCCTTCTCCTTCTCCATCTTCTCATCCTTCTCCTTCTTCTCATCCTTCTCCTTCTCCTTCTTCTCATCCTTCTCCTTCTCCATCTTCTCACCCTTCTCCTTTTCCTTCTTCTCATCCTTCTCCTTCTGCTTCTCCTTCTCCTTCTCCTTTTCCTTCTTCTCATCCTTCTCCTTCTTCTCATCCTTCTCCTTCTTCTCATCCTTCTCCTTCTCCTTCTTCTCATCCTTCTCCTTCTTCTCATCCTTCTCCTTCTTCTCATCCTTCTTCTTCTTCTCTCCTTCTCCTCATCCTCCTTCTCCTTCTTCTCATCCTTCTCCTTCTCCTTCTTCTCATCCTTCTCCTTCTCCTTCTTCTCATCCTTCTCCTTCTCCATCTTCTCATCCTTCTCCTTCTCCTTCTTCTCATCCTTCTCCTTCTTCTCATCCTTCTCCTTCTCCTTCTTCTCATCCTTCTCCTTCTTCTCATCCTTCTCCTTCTCCTCATCCTTCCTCCTTCTCCTTCTTCTCATCCTTCTCCTTCTCCTTCTTCTCATCCTTCTCCTTCTTCTCATCCTTCTCCTTCTCCTCATCCTTCTCCTTCTCCTTCTTCTCATCCTTCTCCTTCTCCTTCTTCTCATCCTTCTCCTTCTCCTTCTTCTCATCCTTCTCCTTCTTCTCATCCTTCTCCTTCTTCTCATCCTTCTCCTTCTCCTTCTTCTCATCCTTCTCCTTCTTCTCATCCTTCTCCTTCTTCTTCTCATCCTTCTCCTTCTTCTCATCCTTTCTTCTTCTTCTTCATCCTTCTTCTCATCCTTCTCCTTCTTCTCATCCTTCTCCTTCTCCTTCTTCTCATCCTTCTCCTTCTCCTTCTTCTCATCCTTCTCCTTCTCCTTCTTCTCATCCTTCTCCTTCTCCATCTTCTCATCCTTCTCCTTTTCCTTCTTCTCATCCTTCTCCTTCTGCTTCTCCTTCTCCTTCTCCGTCTTCTCATCCTTCTCCTTCTCATCCTTCTCCTTCTTCTCATCCTTCTCCTTCTTCTCATCCTCTTCTCATCCTTCTCCTTCTTCTCATCCTTCTCCTTCTTCTCATCCTTCTCCTTCTTCTCATCCTTTCTCCTTCTTCTCATCCTTCTTCTCATCCTTCTCCTTCTTCTCATCCTTCTCCTTCTCCTTCTTATCATCCTTCTCCTTCTCCTTCTTCTCATCCTTCTCCTTCTTCTCATCCTTCTCCTTCTTCTCATCCTTCTTCTCATCCTTCTTCTCATCCTTCTTCTCATCCTTCTCCTTCTTCTCATCCTTCTCCTTCTTCTCATCCTTCTCCTTCTCCTTCTTCTCATCCTTCTCCTTCTTCTCATCCTTCTTCTCATCCTTCTCCTTCTTCTCATCCTCTCCTTCTTCTTCTCATCCTTCTCCTTCTCTTCTTCTCATCCTTCTCTTCTCATCCTTCTTCTCATCCTTCTCTTCTTCTCATCCTTCTCCTTTCTTCTTCTTCTCATCCTTCTTCTCCTCATCCTTCTCCTTCTTCTCATCCTTCTCCTTCTCCTTCTTCTCCTTCTCCTTCTTCTCATCCTTCTCCTTCTCATCCTTCTTCTCATCCTTCTCCTTCTTCTTCATCCTTCTCCTTCTCCTTCTTCTCATCCTTCTCCTTCTCCTTCTTCTCATCCTTCTCCTTCTCCTTCTTCTCATCCTTCTCCTTCTTCTCATCCTTCTCCTTCTCCTTCTCCTTCTCTTTCCTCATCTCCAAGGGCATTTAAATTAAAGGTACAGTGTTCTGCACTAATTTAAAGGCTCTCTGAAGCCTAGAAACCCTTTTTATAAGTCATCTTCGTAGCGAAGAAATTCGCATCGAATCGAATTTCACACTGGAATTCGCCGAATCAGCCGAATCGAATTTTTGAGAAATTCGCTCATCTCTAATTATATGCATACAATTTGCCCATTTATATAACCAAAGTCAAAATGTATTTTTAGTTGACCTTTAACACCCGCTGTGTTCCAGATAAGATATGATTCCTCCTACAAACAGTCCATATGTCACCATCATATGCTGTCCTTGCCCAAAGGCAGACTATGTTACTGAGCATAAGTTTTGCTTGGCAAATCATAAAAAAAAACATCAGGGTACCTGACTTCAGATTACTTGCACTGTATAGCTAGCTATGGATTTACTTTTGGGGGTTGCAGAAAGGGAATATTTGTTTCTGCTTTTTTTATCAATAAAAGAAATAGGAAAGAGTATGCTTTCATCTTTATTACTAACCAAAGTGGACCTGTAGCATATTTACACCCCGGTCCATAAACTTCCCATTCGAGTATATTCATAAATGGTATGAGAAGAGTATTTATATTTCTGTTCATCCAGGTGTGAGATGCTCACAGCCCTGCCACACAGCATAGCCAGCCTGGTGACCTAACTTTTCTCTGCTGCAGTTAAGCAACATAGCTAGGATACCTGTGCAATTGTATGGCACTTTGATTTTAAATTGACTGGATATAATTCTAGCTTAATGGAACTTGGAATTTGGTCAATCATTACGGGGTGATGGAGCTCACAGTAAACAATGCCTCTGGCCTGGTGGTCAGTAAGAGTAAAAAAAAATTAGATAGTGCCTTGTGGTCAATAGGAGGACTAGTGCCCCATCACTGGTATTGGTAGGAGAAACAGTGTCCCGTCACTGTAAGTCAGTGTCAGTGTCAGTAAGTAATAGTGCCCAGGGGCGGACTGACCATTTGGAAACTCTGGCACTGCCCGAGGGCCTGGGGTCAGTAGGGGGCCCCATGAGATGCCCCTGGTACCTTTCTCATAGGCTTTTTTGAGTTTGGGCAAGGACACAGGAGCCCCATGATCCCCTATTGCCCGGGGGTCCCATGAGTTGTCAGTCTGCCCCTGATAGTGCCCCATAATTCGTGTCAGTAGAAAGAATAGTACCCCATTGTTGGTGTCAGTAGAAGGAACAATGCAACATAACTGGTGTCAGTAGGAGGAATAGTGCCCCATTGTTGGTGACATTGGGAGGAATAGTGCCTCATCATTGATGTCAGTGTGAGGAATAGTGCCCCATTATTGGTGTTAGTTGGAGAAATAGTGTCCCATCGTTAGTGTCAGTGGGAGGAATAGTGCCCTATAGTTGGTGTTATTTGGCGGAACAGTGGCACTGTTGGTGTCAGTGGAAGAAATGAGGCCTCATTGGTGGCGCCAATGGGAGGAATAGTGCTATGTATCAGTGGAAGGAACAGTGGCCCAAGGGACAGATAAAGACAAGATAGCAGCCACAATTTAGAGACCACTGTTATTGAACAAACAGGTTAAGTCATTGTCAAGGGGAGTGCTATGAAAGGTAATACATACCTGGGTTTAGTAACCCTTCAACTTCTTCTATTAAGCTTTTGCAATAAAACTTGGAAGCTGATTTATTTTCTATGCGAGTTGCACCAGATTTTGCACTCTCCAGTTTTAGTAAATAGCCCCAAAAAAGCTTAAAACATTTTTTCATTTGGGCACCTTTGTAAATGAAGACCAATTTGTCATCACAATTACATTAATTGTAAAGCTTATTTTAGTGCGTAATCAGACTGAAATTCTAGTACCAGTGCTTAATGGGGCACTTCTATTTGTCAGGAAAACACAAATGTCTTGGATGAAAGGTCGGAAGAAATCTACATAAGTAGTGCCTTGGGCTGTTTTCTATTTTTAATTGCTTGAATTTTATTTACTGTAGCCGAAGATTATTAAATCCTGCAGGTTACTGGGAATTCTGTTTTTCTGCATCAGGGAAGAAGCTTTATCAGCTGAAGCATTAAAAATGCAGACAGCCGTGGGGTTTGAAAATCCACAAAGGAGCACTTCAAATATCTAAACCTGGTATGAAAGCAAAAACTATATCTCCTATCTATAGCACAAAGTGTTGAACTGTTGAGTTTTTACTGCCCTTAAAGGATCATTCTCACCTATAATCCCTAGCATCCCTCTGTAACCTCTGCCAGAGGCAAAACTAAATTCCTGTTTGAAGTAAAACATCTCAAAGGACCCCTTCATATTTGTATATGTGTCTATTTATTAAATATTTATTTGTAGAAAAAAAGGTTTTAAGAAAAGAGCAATGACCCAGTACAGAATGTAAGGTGAAGACATCTCTTCTAATCCAAGATAAAATCAAGCCAAATCGTTCTGATATAGTTCTGGATAGAGTAGGGAAGAACTGGAACCTCCACTGGGTTTTCTTTTCTGTCTGTGTCCCCTTTGGGGAAATTTCTTCTTCTTATGTAGCACCCAACTAGAATAGGTGGCTGGGGAGGTTCCAGTAAATTTAGTTCTTTAGCTCCTCTGTAATCAGTGGTGTGTGATTATTTTTGGCTGATCTAGGTGTCACTGGCTGCTACCCAAGAGTATTCTAACTCATTTTTGCCATTTGAGGTTTGAGTGATTTTTTGTTCGTTATTTTTAGCCAATGGAAAGCTAGTTACTAGAGAATAAAAATGCCCAATATGGCATTTTTGCATGTTTTTATGCACATGTTCGCACATTTGTGTGCACTCCCATTGAAATCTATTGGGGACAAAAATACTTGAAGCTTGTAGCTTAAATAAACGCATCTACTTTTTTGAGCTGCAAGCTTCAAGCAACACTACACTCAGGTGTGAACAGGTACAATTGAAACCCATGGGGTTTTTGATGTTGAGTGATTTGGAGCTTTGAGCTCCCTTAATGGACCCTTAAAGTTGAACTCAGCCCCACTATTAATCATTCAGTTAGTTTAAAATATATCCTTAAAACAGAATTACATTGTATCTGAGCAAAACAAACCAAAAATGCTACTTTATGACAGGTACTTATATAGCACCATCAGTTTATGCAGTGCTTTACATATATATTGTATGTTCACATCAGTCCCTAAATCTCAAGCAGCATACAATCTAAGGTCCCTAACTTACATTCATACATACACATACAGTACATACCAATTAACCTGCCAGCATGTCTTTAGAGTGTGGGAGTGGTTGGGATTTGAACCAACAACCCTAGTACTGCCATATGGAAGCGCTAACCATTTAGCCACTGTGCTGCCCATTTAAAACTAATTAATTTGTAATTAAGCAAACTCCGACATCCATTTATGTCTCTATGCTTTATTTTGCTGAGAAATCACTTTGAAAAAAACACCCCTCTAGCATTTTTGGCTGTGGCTATCTTAAATAAGGGTAAATGAATTTACTTCCTGGAATTCAGAAGCCATCTGCCTTTAGCTCAGGCAGGAGGTGTGCTTAGCTTCGAAAGCCCCTCTTTCCCTCCTAAAGACTCCTGGGGTGTATAGAAACTAGGAAGTAGCTGAAGAAATATAAAAGAAAGGTTTAAAACAAGTAAATGTAATATAGTTTCCTATCTGTTTATTAATATTAGCAGCATAAGGATTAAAAATAATCACTGTTGATTGAGAGAGTGAAGTTTGGCTTTAACTAAATAATTCACAACTGACTTGTCTCACATTATTTGAATGTTAAGGGGTCTAGGTCTGCTTTAAAAGCTGATATACCAGTAGGTATATGGCCTCCTTACATTAAAGTGTTACTAAACCCAGGACCCTGAATTCACTATATCTGGTCTCCCACAGTACACAGAACATGGAAATGCAATTATTTCAGTAAATATAAACTGCTAAATACCCTTTCTCATCAGCAGTTAGAGCAGTACTGTGACTTCTATCAGTGTCCAGCAGAGCATTGGTTAAAGCTTGTAGGAGGAGTTTTCTTTCTGCTCTAGGAGGATGTGAAACCTCTGACCCTCTGTCTGAATAGTGCTGATTGGCCCTTTGCTGATCATATGCACCCTCCCCAAAAAAAAAAACCTCTCTAGCATTACACACCAAACTGAGCATGTGCATGTAACCATGGGTTCAGTTTGAATCAGGTGGTCATTTACACAATGCAGAGGATTAACCCCTTAGATTCCACAGTGAGTATAACAAGCATGCTTTCTTGCATATACAGACTGATTTTACTTGTGTGGGTTTAGTAACACTTTAATACAATCCAAAACTTCATTTAACTCAAATACTACTATAACACATTTGAGACCCTAGAGCTGAAACATACAAATTCAGGGCACTAGGCTGTGATAACAGATTCCCAATACTGATCCTCAAACAACCATTGTTTAAAATTGCACTGCTAATAAGGAAAACAGCTCTTGTAGTCTAAAAGACACGACATTCCAGGCTTTCCCCTAATTAGGAAATATAATCAGCAACATACTCACCATATGTAAAGAGAACCCTCTGGTATGAAGGCAGTTCATACCATGCATTTAGTAGTCCTACATCAGTGATTTTAACAGTAACAGTAACCCCTCTGGTGTATTGGTGTTTCCGTCACTCCCAGTTCTTGATGAGTCCATTGTACCTCTTCCACCAATTGTCGTAATGTAATTGTTACCAATATTCTAACAATAAATAAAAAAAAACGAATGTGCCTTGTAAAAGATGTACTGCTGTGTAGCAGAAATAAGAAAATGTGTCAGTTTTCTCAATATTTGCGCACATAAAAAAAAAAAGATGTTACTTGTGTCTCTTAGCCTTTAGATGTGCTCCATATACATTACATTACAAAACTGCTAATGGTCAACTTAGAAAATATAGGTGGCCTCCAGTGCAGCGGCATACATGGAGGACTGCAAAATGTAACTTGAAGGGCCAGTTTTGGTTTATGTCTTGCACTACTGCATAGTAAAATGCATGCTTTCTGTGCGTTATCACAGCACACATTAATGTGTGCATTGCTGTATACATGTTGCAGTGCTAGAGAGTTTGAATGACACCCAAAAGTACTATCACAGTAGCAGTCAGCGCACCCGAAGTGCAAAGCACTACAATGAACATGGCATACATTGAGGTGATTGGACTGCCAATGCATCCTAACATGCTTACAATCCCATATAATCTTTTTTTATAATGCAATGCACTGTCAGACGTTGCAGCAAGCTACAACGCAGGTGTGAGTCTCAGTGAATTTGGGTGCCATTCAAAAAGATTGGCTCACAACACAATGGTAATAAGTAGCAACATTCCAGGTGAGAGTTTTGAGAGCGGTATTTAGGGGAGTTAGGGACCAATTTACAGGTCTGGAGGACAGTGGGTTGCACCCTAAGCACTGGCAAGCCGAATGCAGGTTGTGGGCTGCTTGTTAGGCACCACTGGACAAATTTATGTGAACAACCCTCCAAGCATGATTATGCTCCTGTACAAACCAACCCCATAAAGACAAGATTAGATTGGTGGTTAGAGTATATAGCAGTGTGCAGAAGGTTCTTCCAGGACTTCTAGTAAAACATCAGTACCTGATTTCACAAATGCACTTTTGACAAAATGGGTAAAAGTTGAAGTTTAAGTGATACCCTTTATTGGCTAACTTGAGTTAATAAAGATGCAAGCTTACAGTATAGATCAGATCCCTATGTCAAGCTTTATACATTTCCCCATTTTTAGCCTGATGACAGGATCTGAATTTTACTAAAAGCTTGCTTCTTTATTAACTGAAGTTAAGGAATAAAAGGTATCACTTAAACCCCATTTCCTGCATTAATCGATAGCTAATACATAATACAACATCCTACTACTGGTTGAATGGGTATGAATTCCCCCAATCACACCACAATCTTTTGGAAAGCCTTCCCAGAAAGGTTGAGCCTTTTGAAGCTGCAATGGGGAACCTGATGCTGGTTATGGTGTAACAAGGAGGAGGGGAATGGGTTGGTCTCTTCATTAGTTATAACCAGGCGCCGTATTGTTGGCAGGTACCAAGGTTTTTCCCTCCTTTTGGGTTCTTCTGGGTTACACTAGGCACCTAGAACAGGGTAAATCTCCTGCAAATGGGGTACCACTACTTGTGCCGTTTCCATGAATGCTCAGAGCCAGAAGGCTGGAAAAATAAACCTTAGGACGGACCTCCAACTTTAGAGATGGCCATACACCGTGTACACTTGAGCAATAAACTCCTCCAGTTAACTCTCTTGTCCCTGGTTCAATGTACACCATTTCTTTCTCTTGTTGCATTTAAGAGGGACCACAAAAGTGACATTGTTACGCAAGTGACAGTGCAGTGTGAGATTGTCTGGTCCTTTGTCATGAGTTGGTGAGAAGGGCACGGGTCGGGCACTGTGTTTGTCACACTTCCCAGACTCCCCTCCTCATCAGATTCCCCCAGAGCTCCCTTCTCCTCCTCAGACCCCTTAGCCTCCTCTCTCTTACTCTAAGTAGCCATTTGTGCATCGCAGGAATATGCACAAAATCGCATGCGTTCCCACAATGCACAAAAACACACAGCCCTTTTGTAGGCTTCCGGTGGTGCCAATATTCTTAATGGCACCACCATGCTCCTTGCTTTTGCACTCATTCACCCACACCAAAAAACACATGGTAACAAAGAACCATGCATTTTGGTACGGCACAATTTTTAAAAAGTTTTTTTGTGCGTTCTTAGCACATTTAAATGAATAGGGCTGTCCTATACGTATTGCACACAAAAAAAAACATTCCATCACAACTGCAAAGATGTGAATGCAGGCTTAGGGCTAGTTTACACTTGATGAGCAATTTGCATTGGATCACTTTTCAGTGGGCATTTGACAGATGGAGAAGACACTATATGCCTCCTCCTCACCGCCTGTTTTAATCCCCTAAAATCCTGGACCTGCACCACTGCGCCAAAATTGCATGCTGTTGCATCTCAACCCAATTAACTTAAATTGTTCATATTTAGCATACAGTACTTCCTGTCAAACATAACATGGAAAATGTTGCTGAGCATGTGTCACCTTAGCAGCTCAGGAAGAGGGGGGAGGCGGTTGGGAGGCAGTAAAAACATGGCTTAACCACCTGTTTTAACTGCTCCCACCCCCTCAAATTGAAAGTGCAAACAAGGCCTTAGGGACTCGTTCACTTGTGCGGACGGAGGGCAGTAAAGCAACAAGCAGCAAGCAACACATCCCATTTTTTCCACTCCCCACTGACACTGATGCAGCACCATTGTTCCTCTTAGCGATACTGCTGACACAGAGACACCAGTCCCTACCCAGGGACCCCAATGACACAGGGACAATTTTTACTATTTGCCACTGCTTTCCCCATATTTGTGCACTGATTTTAAACTCTTCAGTTTGCTGCCCTGTACCACAACTATTGGTAGTATTTTGCCCATGCCACAAATATTACATACAGTCAGGTCCATAAATATTGGGACATCTACACAATTCTAACATTTTTGGCTCTATACACCACCACAATGGATTTGAAATGAAACGAACAAGATGTGCTTTAACTGCAGACTGTCAGCTTTAATTTGAGGGTATTTACATCCAAATCAGGTGAACAGTGTAGGAATTACAACAGTTTGCATATGTGCCTCCCACTTGTTAAGGGACCAAAAGTAATGGGACAGAATAATAATCATAAAGCAAACTTTCACTTATTAATACTTGGTTGCAAATCCTTTGCAGTCAATTACAGCCTGAAGTCTGGAATGCTTAGACCTCACCAGACGCTGGGTTTCATCCCTGGTGATGCTCTGCCAGGCCTCTACTGCAACTGTCTTCAGTTCCTGCTTGTTCTTGGGGCATATTCCCTTCAGTTTTGTCTTCAGCAAGTGAAATGCATGCTCAATCGGATTCAGGTCAGGTGATGGAATTGGCCATTACAGAACATTCCACTTCTTTCCCTTAAAAAACTCTTTGGTTGCTTTTGCAGTCTGCTTTGGGTCATTGTCCATCTGCACTGTGAAGCGGCGTCCAATGAGTTCTGAAGCATTTGGCTGAATATGAGCAGATAATATTGCCCAAAACACTTCAGAATTCATCCTGCTGCTTTTGTCAGCAGTCACATCATCAATAAATACAAGAGAACCAGTTCCATTGGCAGCCATACATGCCCACGTCATTACACTACCACCACCATGCTTCACTGATGAGGTGGTATGCTTAGGATCATGAACAGTTCCTTTCCTTCTCCATACTCTTCTCTTCCCATCACTCTGGTACAAGTTGATCTCGGTCTCATCTGTCCATAGGATGTTGTTCCAGAACTGTGAAGGCTTTTTTAGATGTCGTTTGGCAAACTCTAATCTGGCCTTCCTGTTTTTGAGGCTTACCAATGGTTTACATCTTGTGGTGAACCCTCTGTATTCACTCTGGTGAAGTATTCTCTTGATTGTTGACTTTGACACACATACACCTACCTCCTGGAGAGTGTTCTTGATCTGGCCAACTGTTGTGAAGGGTGTTTTCTTCACCAGGAAAAGAATTCTTCGGTCATACACCACAGTTGTTTTCCGTGGTCTTCCGGGTCTTTTGGTGTTGCTGAGCTCACCGGTGCGTTCCTTCTTTTTAAGAATGTTCCAAACAGTTGTTTTGGCCACGCCTAATGTTTTTGCTATCTCTCTGATGGGTTTGTTTTGTCTTTTCAGCCTGATGATGGCTTGCTTCACTGATAGTGACAGCTCTTTGGATCCCATCTTGAGAGTTGACAGCAACGGATTCCAAATGCAAATAGCACACTTGAAATGAACTCTGGACCTTTTATCTGCTCATTGTAATTGGGATAATGAAGGAATAACACACACCTGGCCATGGAACAGCTGAGAAGCCAATTGTCCCATTACTTTTGGTCCCTTAACAAGTGGGAGGCACATATGCAAACTGTTGTAATTCCTACACGTTCACCTGATTTGGATGTAAATACCCTCAAATAAAAGCTGACAGTCTGCAGTTAACGCACATCTTGTTCGTTTCATTACAAATCCATTGTGGTGGTGTACAGAGCCAAAAATGTTAGAATTGTGTCAATGTCCCAATATTTATGGACCTGACTGTACATTGTACTTTGCGTGCCGCTATTAGTCCCCCCCTTCGGGGGTGGGGCACAATTTGACATCTTTGACCTGGGCGCTGGATGACCTTGTCCCGGCACTGCCTAAAGGCTTCCATTGAAGAGGAGTAAAAAGTCCTTGCCAGTGTCCTACAGAGTGCAGGATGAGGATGAGGACAGAGAGCAGACCGGCACGGATCAAGTACGCTGGGCAGAGCCCCTGTCTGCCCCCTGCCAGTTCAGGAACCAGGAGCCGGTGCAGCAAACGCTGTCCAGCCTGGCCCAGCTGGTGAGCAGAGAGTGCCTGGAGCAGAGCTTCAGCCTAGGTGGGGGTTCAGGATGAGGCAGGGAAAAGGGAGAGCGAGGGGGCCGAGTCTCTGTAACATGGGCTTCTGGCTTGTTCTTGCCCCATGGGCCAAAAGTTGCCAGTCAGCCACTGGCCATAGGCAATCTGCCTACAATCCCACTTTATATTAATGTCCATGACTTTGGAATAGGACGTCCAACAATGTCATATGATATACATGACCATGATGGACTTCAGAATGGACATAATAGGCTGCCCACCATTTTTCTATTGACTACAGATGTCTTATGTGATTCTACGATAAGACAAATCAATATTGCATTGAAGCAGAGAATTAGTCATACAAATACAAAGCAGTTTGATGATGAAGATATACTGGTAGGTTAATTGGATCCTGTCTACATTGGCCCTAGTATGTTTATGTATGAATGTGAGTTAGGGAGTTTAGATTGTATGCTCCTTGAGCCCAGGTTCACACTTGTGCGGTATATTTATTTATTTCAGGTACTTATATAGTGCTGTCAGTTTTACACAGCGCTTTACATATATATTGTACATTCACATCAGTCCCTAACCCTCAAGGGGTGTACAATCCAAGGTATATTGCATGTGATTCGCACAGGAACCGCACTGTATTCCTGTGCAAATCACATGCGATTTGTGTGCGGTGCGATTGGAGCCATACATTTTGTATAGCTCTAATCGCACCGTACCAAAAAGGCACAGGACACTTTTTTGGGTCCGCACTAGAATCGGATAGCATGGGTATTCACACCTATGCAATCTGATTCTGCACATCGCACTGCGTTTTGCGGACCGCTTTCAGGGTGTTGTTAACTTAACATACATACCCGCAGCGG